GTTGGGATTTAGGACAAATACTTTTCAACCACTCAAATTGCAATCGCTCATTCCCAATGACTTTCTTCTGCATACAACTACTTGAACTCGTCTCTGATGCGTTCCCCGGCCCCGCCTATCACCACCGGCTCCGTATTACAGGCGGCCGGGGTTTGTGGACCTTAGGTGCGGCTATATAACCACATCTGACCGGATTACTTTAACTACATCTCGATTTTTCCAGCTTACTACTTTTTATCTTGTTTTGCACAGGCCTCACGATATCCATCATCAGGCATGCCAGTTGACTTCCTAAAATGACCGAAAGTACTCCCAGATTTTGCGTCTCGATCGTTCTTCCGTGAAGACGTTGAAGACAGCAGCGGTTTCTTCAGTTTCTCCCCTTTAATAATGTTTTGGGACGCGTCATGTACCTCAGTGCTTAGGACCTCTCCAAAAAGGTCCAAAATGTACTTCTAGTGAGTAGCGTCACGATCTGGCCTGTACTGCTCTACTAACTAGGAAATATATTTTTTGCAAGCCGTGTGAGATATGAAAACCTGTACAACCAGGGGAAATGTGCTGGGAGGCACGGCTGAACTGCTGGCCGCCCGAATACCCGCAGAGGGCTCAACCGACTGGCCTGCCTAGTCGTTATTCCATCCTTCTGTAAATATGAGCTAACGCTTGTCAGCCCCAAAAACGGTCCCCTCAGACAAAAATAGGCGCATCCTGCGCATCAGAAATAAAGCAATATGCGAGTAAAGGATGAGGAGACTAACATATCACCAATAACACTTGTTTGCTTTCTTGGATATTCGAGTTTGAACGTGAGTCCATCACCGGAGACCTCTGACCCTCCCACCTGAATGTGGTAGACGCGAGGCAAAGTCTGGATGCTCGGGTAATCTCGCCCTTGGAGATTTAAGCCCAGTTTGCTTTCTGTTCTAGGCGAGGACAAAAGTTTGCGATAGAGTAGGCTCGGTCGAAGTTTACGCAAATACCAAAATCGCATGGAAGTTGTACAGAAATCATGCGTCCGCTATATTTCCTTAAGCCTTTCAAACATCGGTCTCCGAAGTCTTCTCAGAGCTTGAGTCAAATAATTGTAATTGTGCCACGGTATGCGCAACCTGAATCCTCAGGGGATACAGTATAGTTGCGTTTTCATAATTCTAAGTTAGGATAGGGAACACCCGTTAAGAGATATAACTTCGGTTGTGAGACCGATTGTCGAAGAGGGCAAGCGACCTGCTTTGCGTGCACGTGAATTGGAGGTGATAGACGTTGTCTTCGTGGACGATTTTTTACTTTCATTTCGAGCCCGAAATGCAATGCTTTTGAAGGATTACTCTTGACTTATTTTATAGGCTTATTCAACTGGGCACGGAGAAGTTCCTCCTGCATTACAGGCGGTCTTGCCCTAGATTCCAGGGGGCGGTTAACGTTAGTTCTAGGGTTAGGTCTATGAGGGGTAGTACTAGGGTTGGGATTGAGGCTAAGAGGGTTAGGAGTGACACGAGTGTTAGAGCTAAGATTAAAGTTAAGACAGGGGAATAGGAACCCCAGGAACGTAAGTCAAGGCCACCTGTAATACTGGGACGGCTCACATTCCTTTGTCCTACTGATTACCCGACCCCATTTGTGTTCTATTCATAGGAGTTTTGGGGTTTCGATTCGCCAATTGCTGAGCGCAGTGGAGGAGGGAAATGCCTAATTTCGCTGTCAGTTGGCGCGGTCAATATCACCATTGCATTCCTCCTGTCAGCGGTGACGGTCGCAAAACTGCATTCTGTCTTAAGAGTATAAGTGGCTTGTATGCCCTCATAAGAAGGCTTTGAAAAAACCTCCCTGTGTGGGCAGGGTTAATGTGAACTAAACAAACGACGGTCTCTCTGACTATTATGCCTCCCTCAGCCAAAAATCGATAAGATGTGGTTATGTAACCCCACCTGATAGACACAATGCTGTTGGGGTTAGGATTGGTGGTTAGGGTTGGAGGTTAGAGCAACTATTTCTCAACCACTCAAAGTACAACCGCGTATTTCCAATAGCGTCGCCTGTGCGTTCCCCGGCCCCACCTGTAAAAACCTCTATTACCATCCTATTACAGGTGGTTTGGGTTTGTTTACTTCAGGTGGGGCTACATAACCACATCTGACCCACAAGTCCTTTCAGAAT